CCCCCCCCCCAAGCCTGTAGCGCTGCTGGGGGTTGTTGTGGCCGAAGTGCAGGACCCGGCATTTGGCCTCATTGAATTTCATGATGTTGGCCTTGGCCCAGTGATCCAGCCTGTCCAGACCCCTCTGCAGAGCCTCTCTGCCCTCCAGCAGATCGACAGTTCCACCCAGCTTGGTGTCATCTGCAAACTTACTGAGGGTGCACTCTATCCTCTTGTCCAAATCATTGGTAAAAATGTTAAACAGGAGTGGCCCCAGTACTGAGCCCTGAGGGACACCACTCATGACCGGCCACCAATTGGATTTAACTCTGTTGACCACAGCTTTTTGGACTCGGCCATCCAACCACTTTTTTACCCAGCAAAGCATATGCCCATCCAAGCCAAGAGCAGTCAGTTTCTCTAGGAGGCTGCTGTGGGCAGCAGTTAACTTTTCTCCAACTCTGCCGTGCTCAAGTTGTTTTCCTGCCACCAGTGATCTTAGCTCTGTGCTCTCTAATTTATCCACATATAATTCCAGCTGCTTTCTTGGTGTAGATATTTCACAGAATTATTTCTCCAAACGTAACTTCTGTCTGGTCTCGTACGACCTCTCTGATTTGCGCTTAGATGTCCAATTTCTTAAGTTATTTTCAGAGCTGGTCATTTCAGCCTGTCATCTGTCCTGCCATCGTTTCTCTCTTCCTGTCTCCAGATCTGCAACTCTGAATAATCTTTTGCTTTCCTTTGCTTCCTTTTCCTCATCGTTACAGTTGTACTTCTGCCAAGTTGCTCTTTCTCTTTTTGTAAATTGGTTTGAAACGTTTTTTCTCACTGACTGCCCTTGTACCTTATCACATGTAGTTCTGTCTTGATCTTGCTTGCTTTCTACACCTTCTATTTGTCCAGAACTTGCATGCATTTGTTAATGATTTTCCTTAAGCTGTGGAGGGAAAGTTTCCTGCATTATTGGCTGAACTGGCTGGGCTGAAGTGTGGCTGAGAGACTGTTTTACTTCCCAGAGTTGCACTTCTTTCCCCCAGAGTGTAGTTAACTTGCTTAGTCATAGAACAAGTGTGGTAAAGTTTTCATTAGTCACTTGAGCAGTTTCGTGGCTTTTGATGTAGTAGACATTGGTGACTCTTCTAGAAGTTTAGTAACTTGATGTGTTTTCAACACTTCTAAAAAATGCAAGATGCTAACATTGTAGAAGAGGGTTTTCGTCAAGCTAATGTTCTTGTACCTTGTAATTCAGACTGTCTGTACTAGGCATTAATAAAAATGTCATAATTTTTTTTATATAGATACATATATATTTTATATATATATTATTCTAAAAC